CACAGACGTGCTTTGACCAGTGGGCCTCTCCACCCGGTTGTGTCAGGTCAGCACAGAGGGACACCTGGGAGCAACATTCGGGGCCAAACCGACAGCTACATCCCCTCCGTGTAGACCCGATGCGTCCGTTTCCCCCCTTCAGGTGCCGGCGGCGGCGCCGTCCGTTAGGGGGACCACGCCCCGGAGATGTGTGCCGCCTCTTCGGACATGCCACAACACCACCCGGTTGTGGTAGGTCATCCGATATATATAAACACTTGGAGCAAAGTCCCCTTCGTATAGACCCGATGCGGCTGTTCCCCATTCCAGTTGCCAGCTGGCGGCGGCACCGTTCGTGAGGGGGGTCACACCGCTCTGTACAGAACCGAAAAATAATGTATGTATGCTTATTAACACATACGGTATGTAAGTTAGTTAAATAATAATAATAAAGAAAACAGTGAAGAAAAAGAAAAAAAACTATATGTATGGTTATTAACACATACTATATGCTTATTAACATACTATATGCTTATTAACACATACTATATGTATGCTTATTAACACAATCTATATGTATGCTTATTAACACATACTGTATGCTTAATAATAATAATAATACTATATGGAAAAAAAGAAGAAAAAAGAAAAAAAAAACTATGCCGTCGGCATAGCTGCGGCCAGATGGACATCGCCGCGGATCGATGACGTGTCAGATATGCCGACGGCTGCCGTCGGCATAGGTCCTGGCCGGTGCGCTCTGGATCGATGACGTGTCACCCGTATCTATGCCGACGGCCGCCCGTCACGGCCGTCGGCATAGATTTGACGTCGTTAGCCGGCCGTGATGCCCGTTGTCGGCGGGCCCGCATCTATGCCGACGGCCTATATATGCCGACGACAGCTGTAGGCGTAGTCTTGGATAAGCTGACGGCTGTTGTGTGCCGACGGCTGCTGTCGGCGTAGACGTGGATAGCCCGACGGCCATTGTACGCCGACGGCCAGGAGCTAGCTGTCGGCATAGCTCGGACAAGGCCGACGGTAGCCGTCGGCATATATTTGGCTGTCGGCTTAGAGCCCTGTTCCGGTAGTGACAGCACTAGTCATCGAAAGCAACGGGCCAGGCAGGAGGCGAGCTTCCAAGAAGCAAGAGAGAAGAGACGAGAGAGTCCCCTGCTGCATAGAGAAGACAAGTGTAAGCCAGTTAATTAGCGGAGATGCCTTGAGATCAAGGCAAGTGAGTACTCGAGTCGAGCCCGCCGAAGCAAGTAGTACGTAGCCTTTTTCTAACTGAACCGAAGAAGAAAAATAACCAGGGCTGCACGTTGCGCTGCACCTTTTTGCTGCCATTATTTTGTTTTGCAGCAGAGAGACAGTTAACCACTCACTGATGGTGCATGCATGGTTAGTTGCCGGCTTGTTGCACCTAAAAGATGCAGGCAAGTTGACCGGCAATGAAGGAAGGGAGGGCAGCTCCGTGGCTTCCGCTGCATCATGCATGGCCTGCGTGGATGGAGTCCAGCGACCGGAGGTGGACGCGCAGACAGCCAGATCATCTCCGCAGTTCATCTCGTCTCAAAGACCACTGCATCGTCGTCTGCAAAGCTGGCACAAACACAAGTCGGCAGTAGTAGTAGCAGTAGCATAATTAGCTAAGCACTTTGGGAGGCTAAGCACTTTGGCGTTGGATCCACAAAACAACTCAGGGATGCCCATCATCACCTCAAGAAGAAGAAGAAAAGGCTGTTATTCCCCAGGAATGTCAATGCACTTTGGCGCTTGCCACGCCATTTTTAACTCACCCTCCTTCTCAGATTCAGTGCAGTGCAGGTGCAAGTTGAGTACTACTACTAGTAGGTGGAGGGAGGACAAGGTGAGCAGTAAACAAAGTGGAACAAGAGGTGGTGCCTTGGACTGTTGTAGCCTCTCAAGGAAGGAAGCACATGGACTATCACACAGTCGTTAACAGTAGCAGCAGCAGCACTTGTTAGCATAATACACTACCAATACAGACAGCAGCACTTGCTTGGGAGCTACTGTAGTAGTGAATGTATAAGCCCACCTGCAAAGAGTCCTCAGAGCTGTCATCATCTCTCGTGCATCCATTTATCCCCTGTCTTTACACAAAAAAGTGATAACAACTTGTGGCAAGGATTCTGAAACGCATCTGTATTCATTCATTCATTTCATGACCATTATTGCTGTAGAATAGAATGTATCAACTGTAACGGCATGTGGCGTGACAGAGAGAGGGGAGTGGGCACGCACGCACACTTGACCGGAGCACGGTACAGGACAGTCAAGAGGTGGCAGCCAAGCATACACACACGCGCGCCGGGCCGCAGCAAACGGTCTCCACCAGATCGGGAATAAAAGCCACCGGTGGACACCACCGCCCACGAGCAGAGCAAGAAAATAAAGGAGGAGGAGCATCCATCCATCAACGGCGGCCGGCGAGCTCCGACAGCGCCTCCTCAACGGCCTCGCCCAGGACGTCCCCGCATATCTCCCTCGCCATGTCGTCCACCTCCAGCCGCAGCATCTCGGACCACCCCCTGCCCGCGATCTCCTCGCCGACGACCCGGTCCGCCGCCGCGACGCCCACATTGTCCGGCAGCCCGTCGCACGCCTCGCCGTCGGCCAGCCAGCCTTTCACCAGCCTCCACGCCGCGTCGCCCACCGGCTCGTCCCGCCGCGACACGCTGGCCACGACCGGCCCTGCGGCGCAAGGGTACGCGCTCCAGAGCGTGCTCTGGCCGATGCCGAGCAGCGCGGCGTTGACGGAGTCGATGAGCAGCCTCTGGCCCGACCGCCGCTCCCTGCATTTCGCGTCCTCCACCTTGCGCTCCAGGAACTGGTCGGGCACGGTTGGAGCCAGAGGGCTGTCCAGCGAGTGCCACCGGGCGAACACGTTGCCGGTCGCCTCGGCGCAGAGGCCGGCGGATGACAGGATCTTCTCGACGAATTCGTACCGCTCTTGCTCGTGGGAATCGTCGTCTTTGCTAGAGCACGGCGCGGCCTCTTCTTCAGAGGAGGATTCGTCCCATGATAACGTCCGCGCGACCGATCCGATCGGAAGACACCTTGATAAAGGTTCTGCAAGCAAGATAAATGTTGAGATTCAGACAAGGGACACTGGCATAGCCTAATTTTATTCCACAATAAAAGCCTAGGGTGGTGCCAATAATGGTTAATTATGAGGCACAAAAGTTAATCATACTTATTATCTTTTATGGCCTGCCCACAAAGATTAAGTACACTTTATTGGTACTTACTGACACCCTACCACTATAGCCTGCAGTTTTATGTCTGTAAAGGTAAGAACAGTTAACATGCCAGATTGGCAGAAAATTATCACACGACAGACATGGTAATGTGTTACCTTGTTTAGCGGTAATTGCACTTTCTGATGAACTGGCAGACTTTTCGTTCCTATCCTCAAGCAGCGCGTCGAGAACTGATGTTGGACTGGGCTCATCAAAATGTGAATTCCGAATCTCAAATGAGTGTGTTTTCTCAAGAGAAATCAGAGCCTGCAAAATTATCCGTCCAGGTTAACAAATCTACCACATTTATGTGTTAAAAAATCTATGTTTACATCTAGTAGGTAAACAAAAATGTAGAAAAGAAAGTACTGTACCTTAGAAGAAGAAAGCGCCTCTGATTCCTTGACCGGAAGTACTATTGTCGCATACTGATACTTATCTTCTAAACTCTCTGAAGCAACATCCTCTTGTAGGCCGGTACAAGCTGACCGTGATACACCAACCACTACATCACTGTCCACAGGAACTCTGCCATTCAAGCTCCCCGAGGGAGATGTGATGAGCTTCTCTTTTCCGGCTTTCCTACGCATTGAGAAGAAGCTTGAAATCTTTCCCTTGAGAGATGACTTCCCATTCCTAGGCTTGGCCGCCTCCTTCGGGGCTGTGGCTTCTCTATGTTGAGAATCTGAAGATCTAGCGTCTAAACGCAGGCTGTCAAAGGCTGATGAAGAGACTGGAACAGATTTTGACCTTGAAATGTTATTATTGCTGGAGCTTTCTCCTTCCGCACCATCAACAGAGCAATTAGATGGTACGGCGACTCTTTGTTCGTTGCCACACAACTGGCTGCCGCCATTAGTGGCCACCTGATCAACAACATCTTCTTTCTTCATATCAGACATGGCAAGCATTTCACCGAGCGTGCTCAAGCTCCTTCGCATCGGCACCTTTTCCCGGATAATCTCATTGGAAGATGCACTTGGCCACCTATCAGAGGCATGCTTCTTACCCTCCCTAGCTACATGTGCCTCAGGAGAGCAAGAAGCATGGCTTAAAGATGAGCCGAAATAAGGATTGCTAAACCGGTAGATGTAATCCCAAGAATGGCATGATGTTGGGCTTCCAAGCTCCGAGCCACTGAAGCTACTGCGTCCTTCTTCAGCGCGATCATAGTATGATCTATCTCGCCCGACCATATTTGACTGTATGCCACCCTGCAAACACTCATCATGCTGGTGACACATGCCGTGTGCTGACCAGTGTATCTCATCACTCACATGCCTTGATACAACAGGAGCATCAGAATCATCAGAGTTACCATGACCATTTTGTTGAAACTGCTCTGCTGTGGTGATTGCGGAGGTAGGTTTTAAGACCACTATCCGAGTGTGCTGTGGACGCCTTTCTGCTCTGGCATGACCAGCATTGGGCTTCCTACAAAGATTGCTTTTCTCTGTTCTACTCCCATGAACTGCATGGTTTTGCTGCCTTTTAAGTGCATTTTCGCTCTTCAGCTCCACTGATCTGGCAGGCTTCAACACGGTTATTTGCTTCCTTTGTGGTGACGTTGGCGCAGAATGGAACTCACCAGATTGCTTTGCGAAGAGTGAGTTGGGTTCTTCGAGAAACTTGAGAAACAAGTCCCTGTTTGAATTCAAAGTCTCCAGAGCATCATGGAATTCTTTCGATTGGAGAAGATTCTCATGCGAGGCTAGCTGCTTTGCTTCAACAAACTTCTGCCGGACGAGATCCATTCTTTTCTTGTCATGATCTTCAAGTGGCCTCCCTCCGCGTGAAGAATCGTCGCTCAAATGCTCACACCTTTGTGGCTGGTATCCCACCTCATAGACATCCTTATATTCCACATTTTCAACAGAGCCTGCATGCTTGTCGAACGACATTTGGTTGTTGACCCTTGCCATCGTGGTTGATAAGTGGCCCTCCGGAGATCTCCTCCTGCTTGAAGGCTGAGCAGGCTTGGGAAAGGCCACACCTTCGTCGAGGCCCATCAGCCTTGCTATAACATTAGTGTTCTTCTGATTTGTGTCCCCCTCCTTCGCCATCTCCTGCGCAATCAGCGTCTTCATGGGCGTGCCGCCGGATCTGTCCGACGAGCTCCTCCTCATGCTGCCAGTCACCTGCGCCACACATGGATCAATCATGCAGCGATAAGCAGACTGTAAAAAGCTGAGATTTGACAGTTTGACACTGAACACAAAGACCAGTATGAAAAATATGTGCTCACCGTGGACTTGAGATCGGCGTAGTCCTTGCGGTCCGACTGCGTTCCTCTCACCGGAGAACCTGCCAGGAAGGAGGAGATCCATAATTAGGACACCTTCCACTAACCGAAGAACAATCATACAAGAGGCCATCTCATCTCATCTCTCCCCCAGCGAAAAATCATCGGAGAGTTAACCAATCATGCATCCGAAAAAATCATGGTCAGCTGGGTCGTTGCATGACCTTACCATCTCTGGCGGCGACCCTGGCGCTGGCTCCAGCGCTCAAGTCGAACAGATTGATCATTTCTTTATTCCTCCAACCCACCGCCACCAGCACCAGCAGCGGCGACAGCTAGCTGCGGCGAAAATCGCCTCTATTACGGCCAGTGTGCCTGGAGAAGAAGAAGAAGCGGAGCAGAAGTGAAAATGAGTCAGGAAATACGAGAAACCGTGACATGTAACAATTTTTTAAAAAATAAAATCAAAAGCAAGCGAGCAAACAGAGGCCGGAGATTTTGGGCGGATTAAAAGCTGACGCCGGAGCTAAAACTGTGGGGAAGGAGGAGAGAATTTGAACGCCGAGGAGGAGGCCGTGCGGCTGCGGGCGTGCCCTGCCCTGCCCTGCCGCTCGTGGCCGGGAATAGTAGGAGCAACAGCGCGGAAAAGGCAGTAAAAAAGGAGGTCGAGACGAGACGAGACGAGACGAGACGAGAAGGGGGCGGGACGGCGACGGCCAGCGAGATCCCACCGTCCCCTCCTTGGCGCCAATTCCGCCGCAATTCCGCGACGGCGAGCAGCGCGCCCGCGGAGGGGCCGGCCGGATCAAGCGTGCCAGGGAGGAGGAGCCAGCGAGGCGAGAGGTGCAGAGGGCGGGCGAGGGCGTGCGTACCGGTTCGGCAGTGTGGAGCG